TATATTACAAAAAAAACAAAAAAAATATATATATATATATATATTAAATTTAACATTTTTCAAAAATTTAGAGGCAACTTGTCAACAACTATAAAGAATGGGGCAAGGATCAGAGTGGGTACGAGGGAGGTGGAAAATAGCTGATTCTGGAAAAGTAATCTTACAATTAGGGTTAGCCCAAGCCTAGTCTAATCTTTCCCTGATAAGTTGGCCTAAAAATCTACAATTAACACAGGTAAAACGATTTCCATTAAATCCCAAATCTACTGTGTTGCAGGAATTCATGTAATTTGTGTAAGCTTTAACTCTAGATTGCAGAACAGGATTACCTCCAAATTTTTCACTTTGGTCCACAACATTATTGAAATCACCAATGATCATCCAAGGTATAGATATTGTACCTGCCAAACTAATTAGATCTTGCCAGAGCAATTTTCTGACTTCGAATTGTGGTCTACCATAAATACTAGAGAAAAAGCAATTAGAAGAAAATAGGGGATTGTTACATACTTGCACAACCACGTGGATAGCTTGCAAACCTTGAGATACAACATCTACTAAGATCTTTGAGTCATCCCAGAGTAACCATAGACCTCCAACTAGGCCTTCAGAATCTACTATGTAGTATTTTGGAAAGCCTAAAGTTTTTGCTTATTCCTTGGCATCTTAACCAGATAGTTTGGTTTCCAATATAAGCATCATAAAGGGATTATGTATATGCTTCAAATCCATCATGCTTTTTCAAAAACTAGCTTTTGCTACCCCACGACAATTCCAAGAGATAATCTTCATAGTCCAGTCATTGGGGGGTTGTGGTCCCAAGACCAACTGGGCTAGCATTGGATTCAACACTAACAATAGGCATGGGTTGTCCCAAGTTAGAAATCTTGCCAATGGGAAGTGATATGGCAAGATTATCATCTCGAAATCCCTCTCTGGGTCATTAGTGAGAGACGGACTTAGCAAAACAAGTGAATTTTTTTCATTTTCCCCTAAAAGATCCTAACCTTCAGATGGTGCATATATGTTGAGCTGTTGAGTATGTGGGGAATGATAGGGCCCAATTGCTCTACTTCTTGCTCATCGACGGAAGACTTGAGATTCACTACTTTGCATAGATCTACCTGATTCAAGTCCTCCACAATATCTGGAATTCGATGGACTATCTCTTGGAGGTTGATCCCCATATTTGTGAGTACTAGCACTCATCAATTTGTAAAAAGTTTTTCCATTGTCCATTTGGAGCCCTTGGGGGACACACAATCTAGGATCCTGTCTCCATTTGCACTGCCACTTGTTCCTTGATGAGAAATACTTGGGTCCTTGGGTATTCCGGTAGGTATGGGAACAACTCCATTATGGGGAGAAATGGGGGTGAAAGGGTTGTGAGTTACAGGGTGAATTTGAGTTTTTAACAAAGGTTTATCTATGGTAGGTGGTAAACTATGGTTATTGGCAGGTCATGTAAAGGGGGTAATAATGCTATCAGATGTACTGGGTTGAGCAGTAATTGTAGTTTCAAGGATTATCTTGGCACAACTTGAATAAATGGGTTTGGGCTCAATCGAAGTAATTTGTTTCAACTTGGGCTCTTTTTGGGCTTTTTGGGTGAAAGACTTAGGATGATCAGGTTGTTCCTTCATAACCCTTTTGCCCAACTTAGGGTCAGGTCTTCTTTGTATATTGGAAATAGGCTTGGTGTTGATAACCGTTAGCATCTTTTTTTGAGAAGGCTCCTCATTAATTGCATTGACCACTTGATCGTTGGGTTGAGTGGATGTGGCCATCATGTTTGCAACTTGAGTTCATGGGCCAAGTTTATGGGTTGGGCTAACATGTTCACTCGCATCCTTAGATTTCTGTCCAGTCTCCATTTTTTCCTGCGAGTTAATCATCACTGTATTCTTGCGTCTTGGCTGGCGCCATTCCACTAACAACCATGGGCCATACTCTTCCTTCTTTTCAATCCCATTATTAATAGAATTATCCCTTTTCATGACTCCATCATTGGAGGTTGCAGGGGAATCTGAATTTATCATTAAGACCTTTAGTGATGTAGATGAGACCTCTTTAATGTTATTTGGAATTGATTTAGAATTGGCACATTGATTGTTGTGATGCCCTATCCTCCCACAATCACAGAAAAGAGCACTAATTCCTTCATAAACCACTCTCTGTTTTTTCTTTCCTATTCGCACGTATTTAACAACAGGTAGAGAAAGGTCAATCTCAACACATATTCTGGCATACCTTCCTTTGGTATGGTGAGCTGTGTTAGCATCCACACAGAGGAGAGGTCCAATCTTGTTTCAAATCTTGTTTCCAATCTTTTGTAGTATAGTAGGGTCATAATGATCAGCGGAAAGATTGGGTAATTGTGCCCAAACTGCAGTTGTTGTAGATCTCACTACTTCCTTTGGATCAAAGTTTAGTTCCCATCTTCTCATGGTGAGAAAATAAGGGCCAATAAGCCAAGGTCCACCTTGAATGACTTGATTGAGGTCCTCCATATCCTGAAAACATACAAGAAAGAAATCAAGACCTAAATCAATGAAAGCCCATTTTCCCTTAGGTTTCCATTGAGCTTTAACCCAAAGAAAACATAGTTATATCCTTAAGATTTGTGGTGAATAGTTTTTTTTAAAATTTTTTAATTGAAAGTTATCAATCTTCATAAATAGTTTTTTTCTATAAAAAAAAACTTTTTTTTTATTTTTGTTGTGGCTCATGTCTATAGATGGGGAGAAAATTTGAAGGTATGGAAGCCTATATTGCTGCTATTGACTGCTGGAAGGTTGTTAAGGATGACACTGGTATGCATGCATAGCTTTTACCTTGTAAAGATCAGTTTCTTTCTTCTTCTTTTTTATTGATAAAAGTGTATTTGTATTAATAATTAGAGTAATTACAATACAAATTATACTTTGTCATATAGGTTGAGTAAGAAACATAGATACGCTAAGGAAGACCTATGACACAACTAACATAACGAGCTATTGCTCATGACAAATGAGACCATTAAGTATTGAAAGTCTCTAATTATTTATATATATAATAGGGGTATCAATAGAGTCATGTAAAGATATAAAAGATTATTCTAGAGCTTACTATTATTGTTAATAATCACATCTATTTTATCATCTTAACCTAACACAAGAGATCATAGGACTTGGTGATGTAGTGTCTTTTAACACAACAATGCTCTGTACATTCTCAAATGGTCATTTAATCTACAAATGCATGAAAAATATCTACCTGCATGGCATATGTAGTATTTGAATCATTATGCCCCACTTTGGATGCCTTACCATCATTAAGTGCATCAGAAGTCAGCTTTCTCTTCCCTTTCCTATCCCTCTTCTTGCTTGGTGATAGAACTTGATTCCTTTCGATTTTTTTTCATGTCTTCCCCAAGGCAAAATTC